TATTTATATATATTTATATATATTTATTAATATATAATATATATAAATATAAATAAAAAAATAAAATAAATATTTAAAAATAAAATAAATATTTTATTTATTTTATTTTTAAATATTTATTTTATTTTTTTATTTATTCTTTTGTGTTTTCCAACGGTTATTCCAACGGATCGCCGTTGGAAATAATTTTAAATTCCAACGGACGGCCGTTGTAAATACCGTTGTAACATTTCGACGGCGTTTCCAACGAATATTCTAACGGATATCCGTGGCAAATACCGTTGTAAATCCGTTGGAAAATTTCTAACGGATATTCTAACGGTCCCGTCGGAAAATAGCCACGGATGTCCGTTGGAATTTCCGTTGATATATCCCGACGAACAAATCCGTTGGAATTCCGTTGAAAATATACCACGGAAAAACCGTTGGAAATCCGTTGAAATATTCTAACGGATGAAGGCGTTGGAATTCCGTTTGGAATTTGCCACGGAATTCCAACGGATACCGATTTCTAACGACGAAATTCCAACGGATATATCTGTTGGAAATCCGTTGGAAAAGTTGAATTCCAACTGATTTTCGGCTATTTCCAACGGATTTGCCGGTTGGAATTTGGGGTTTTTTTTGTAGTGAACAGTTAAAAGAAATACGTAAATGGAAAACAAAAAAGGCACAAAGAAAGTATAAGGTAAAAAAAAACGAAAGAGTTTTTGAGTTTTGAGATGCCATTTTGGATTTTGGTAATGTATCTACATCGATCATATCATATCCTGTTTTCTGTACCATAAAGTTTTTTAATTTATACGCTTGTATACATAATTAGAATATATCCCGTTATGATAGTATAATGATAAGAATATAAAATTATTTTGGTTTTTTGGCCAATGGTTAAGTTTTCGTTTTCTTTTTTAAAAAACTGGATATTTTTAGAATAAAATGAATAACAAAAAACGGTTTATATATAAAAAGGTTATATTTTAAATTTCTAACCGATCATGATCAATATATTATTTTTAACAGTCGTTTCAATTTCATATAACGTGGGTCTTTACATTTGGTGAATTTGGGAATTGATGAGAAAATAAAAACATTCACGTTTGTAAAAAATTAATCATTTAAACCACACTTTAACTATATGCTAATCTAAACAGATCCCGAAGTAGCATTTAGAAAGTTGGAACCTTTTTTGACATTGACATTAACTTTCGTTTACAATAAAGTTTTTTTTTTTAAAATACTTTGGGGGTTCTAGAAGTTTAGAACTTCGTTCAATGAATTACTCTCACAATTTTTTTTTTATAACCTCTCACAATTTCTTGTACTACATATAAAATCTTTCGAAGGTATATAAAAAATTACTCCCTCCGTTTCAGAATATTTGTAGTTTTAGGTTATTTTCCATGTTTTAAAATATTTGTCATTCTATATTTTCAAGATATTTTTTACAATAATTTTCAATTCTATCCCTATCAGATTTCAAAAATTATTAATGATAACATTATTTTTATTATTAAATAAGGATATATGTGTTTTTTTATCTCTTTTCTTAACAAATATGAAATAATTTAAAAAAACAATTATTTTGAAACGGAGTGAGTAATATTCTGTAATTTTGTTTAGTTGAAAAAATAAATAAAAGGGTCATTGTTGCCCCTTGATAGAAGTTTGGGATCTCAAACTAATTCTGTGTTATTGACCTTTCAATTCGTGTTATATAATTTTTAAGTCAGAATAATAATTGTATTTTTCTATTGAACCGAGGTCTTTGTTAGCAATAATTCCCAATAAAAAAAAACTAATATTATCATAGCAGCCAAAAATTATTATATTACTATTTATTTTACTATATATATATAACACAGTGAGAAAAATCATTTCAAAACTTTTTCATTAAAGTTGCAGCCGTTTTTGAATAGAAAAATTATATTATAATGTTTCGAGGTGGCATAACTAAATGAACTTTTTAGTATGTCTATTGGTCCTTTCATATGAATAAATTAATAGCTTAGGCATGTCTTTTTGAGAATAACCCACATGGGATAACATGCATGGACCCCATTAATCTATATTTTAAAATCCTTAAGCACGCAACAAGACCCAGGTTTATATATCATTATATTATTTATTTTTTATGGTTATCAAAGGACGGTTACAATTTTCACCATGATGAAAAAAATAATATCTGTTTGAAATTATATTAACCGTTTTTAAAACAACGTATTTACTTTGTCAGACGGCACATCACATGAGACGCACCATATCATAATAACGCATTGATTATTAAAATATTATAATAGCAATCATACGTTGTCCAAAGTAAACCGCATCACACGAATAATCGTGTATTTCCTCCGCGTTCGATATTCAATTATCATTTTCTGTGTATACAATATGGTTCTCGCAGTGATGATTCTCTCTATGTATGCTGCTGTTTCGTTGAACACAATAGCAAAGATGTCTAGATCAAATGCATGTGCACAAATATTGAATTGAAAAACACTCCGAGAACGTAAAATTAGACCTGTAAATTAACCCTAATATAAATCCTGAATGATAACCATTTATTTCACATAGATATTGTCCAGATACGACTTTTGATGATTAATCTTGGAATTTATTAATATAGATATGTGTTGTTCAAATGTGACTTTGATGATTAAACTATAAGATTATTAAAATCCCGGTTGGATTCAATCTCTTACAACTTACAAGTGGGGCTTTCGCGTTCGCTTTTCAGTATGACAAGTGGACTGGAGGATGAGGCCTATCCGAGTTTTCAACGTCCAATTTGTCACATTGAATAGTCTAAGGCATACAATATATATATATATATATATATATATGTGTGTGTGTGTGACTGTATACAGAGGGAGAGAGAGAGCCGACATGAATATAGATGGATCTGATTAATTTGTAATCAATTGTATCGATTAAACTTGTGAACGAATCGATGGTTACAATAGTTATAACCATTCAATTTATTCAACCGTTTCTCAAACAAATACTTCCACATGCTCCAAACTCAACAGCAACCACAGCCAGTTGGACCCTATATGTATATGTAGAACATTAGGTTATACGGTTTTAACCAATACACAAGTACTTTATATGAGGAAACGATTCTAAATTTAAATCGCAGTTACTGCATATTTTAGGTAATGTGATAAAACAAGCATGTAGAGTTAGCGAGTGATGAATGATTTACAATAATCCAATAGAAACTAATTCAGCATAATCACGCACTCACACAAAAAGGAGGTGTTAATACATCGTATATGGCCCCGTGCGTATCGGATTCATCGGTTTTCACTTCAAATATATATATATATATATATCTATTCATAATAATATATGAATGTATATCTAAATTAAATTGAGTTAAAATAAAGAGAATTTATGTATCCTTAGATCAACGTGTGTGTGTTTGCTATTTTTTGTAAAATAAAAATTGCAAAGACTATTTTTTTGGATAACGAGTCGCAAAAAAAGATGTGCGGATCCAATGGGTGAGACCAAGAATTGGTCCCAATGTATCAATCAATGAGCCAATCACATCCGCAAGCCATTCATCCAAATTTCGTTAGCCCCATCGCCATGAAAATTATATAAATCCAAAATATCCAAACTTTGTATATATATTTTTTTAATGGGTTTCTAGAAGACGTCTCCAATTCTCTATAAAGAGAGGCCACGCTCTTGATCGAACGATATTCCAAAAACGAGAAAAGGAAACTCTCTTCCTTTTTTTTTCTGTAATTCGAGAAAAAGGAAACTCCTCTCCGTCCAAAAGCTTCGATCTTTATTTTTCCTTCTTAGAAAATCTTCAGTCGTCTCTTTTCCCTTGAGCAAAAGTTTCGATCTTTAATTACCACAAAAACAACAACAACAACAACAACTACGATCTTTCTTCGTTTTTGGATCTATATATCGAGATGGGGCTGATCCCTGATCTTTCCGACGACGTTGCCCGCGAGTGTCTCTTACGCGCCTCCTACGCGCAATTTCCGGCGATCTCTTCCGTCTGCAAAAGCTGGAAGCGAGAAATCTCCCTCCCTGAATTTTTCCGACGACGTAGAGCTTGCCGCCATAGCCAGAAGCTTCTGGTAATGGCCCAGGCCTGGGTCGACCCGGTTAAGAAATCCGGAACCCGACCCGGTAAGACCTTTTCCAGTCCGACTTTCCGGATCTCGGTCCTCGAACTCGGTTCGGGTCTCTGGACCGAGCTTCCTCCGGTTCCGGGTCTCCCCAATGGCTTGCCTCTGTTCTGCAGATTGGCCGCAGTCGGGTCGGATCTTGTAGTGCTGGGTGGGCTTGACCCGGTGACATGGCAGGCATCCGATTCGGTTTTTATCTTCAGCTTCCTGTCCTCCACGTGGCGCCTCGGCGCGAGCATGCCAGGTGTACGGCGCTCGTTCTTCGGTTGCGCGTCGGATTCCGACCGGACGGTGTTCGTCGCAGGCGGGCACGACGAAGACAAGAACGCGCTGACGTCAGCGATCTCGTATGACGTGGCGGAGAACAGGTGGGTCCCTTTGACCGACATGGCTAGGGAGCGAGACGAGTGCTTGGCGATCTTCCACGGTGGCAGATTCCACGTCGTCGGAGGATATACGACGGAGGAGCAGGGGCAGTTCTGTAAAAGCGCCGAGTCCATAGACATCTCCACGTGGCGGTGGGGACGGGTATCGGAGGGACACCTGCATTCGTCCACTTGTCAGCCGGTGTGCGCCGCCGATGAAAACGGGGAGCTGTACGCGTGCTGCCGCGGCGAAGTGACGGCGAAGAGTGATGAGACGTGGCAGAAAGCGATGGAGATACCTGCTGACGTGTACAATGTTGCTTACGTGGCAGCAGTGGGCGAACGGAAGTTAGTGGTGATTGGGTCGGCTAGATTCGGCGATCCCACCGTGGCATACGTCGGTGACCTGAACACTTCGGAGTGGGTAAAAGTGGAAAGTAGTGAAAAATACGAAGGCCACGTTCAAACCGCTTGTTTTATGGAACTTTAGGAGCTCCGTATATAATATTGTTTACTCTACTACGATAGTGGCATTTGTAAATATGGGTTGTTTTGGGCCGAATAAATTCCCCTCGTGGCCCATAAGCCCATTGACAATTTCGAATTGAACTTTGAAACGTACGAAAATCAAAATAGAATTGGGGGGG